TTCTTGAAGAAGACCTGAAGATAACTTAAATCAAATTTTTCTCTGAGAAGAAAAGTCATGTAATATATGCGAAAGTGTCGAGTAAGTTATTCAGGCACATTTTTGATCACAATAATGTAAACATTTTCATCGGATTTCAAAACGCACCGTTTATCCCTATAATGATATTTCTCAATGTGCAAATTGTTTTATTACCTACAGTAAAAATATATGCAATACTGAGAAAGTATGCTTAAACTGTGGAGATGCCCATGGTGTTAGTGGATGTACAATGTGCTACTTGTTGCAATTGCCCAAATTCTAATAAAAAAATACAATGAAGATTACGATACCAATCATTCACCAGCAGACAAAAATTGTCCCGTTTTCAAATTCTTTCATCAACAACATTTGTCCCGAATATTATTTTGAAACGACAATAAATTATGTAGTAAACTAATGGATACATATATTAGAGATTTTAGAGCAGACTTAATTTAACTAACATTCAAGATGATCTACAAACAGCTAAAATTAATTTATACAATGTTACAGACTCAGAGCTAAATGTATTTCACACGAGCATACGTCTTCATAAAAATACGAACAAGCTCCAATCTTTAATAGAGATGCTAGATTATTCTTTTAATGTGCTAGTACTAACTGAAACATTCACAATATATAATGAAAGTCTAGTTAAAATTCCAAATTACTATTCATAAAATAATGGAGGAAAGCTCAACAAAACCGATGGTGTATTGATATACATAAAACAAAATTTAGATAGCGAGATTGAAATTGTAAGTTCAGATCAAACAAATTTGTTTAACGTGATTTTATATAAAAATAATAAACGGATTCAAATTATCGGAGCATACAAGTCGCCATCAATAGCCGTCAAAACTTTCAATGATGAACTACATAGCTATATGGAAAATAATAAGGAATTTGATATTAATTTATTTATAGGAGACGGTTAGGGATCCTTTTTTTTTATACTCCAACTACCACGAAGGCCTAAGGCCTAAGCACCCATTGGGTACCGTGGGGCTATAGGGCGATACATGGGAAAGGGGGGGACGCCACACGGACTCTGGCGATGGAACACGTGTGCATGCAACATGTACACATTCTGGCTCCGCCTACGAGAACCGCCGGGTGGTACCTCCGCGTTCGACAGTCAGAGACCATCTACCACCTACGGACAATCACAACATCCATAGCCAAGAGAAAAATTTCTCCTGGGATGGGACTCGAACCCGCACAGCGCACGGCGACTGATCAGGAGACCGAAGAGTCTACTACTGCGGCCACCGCTGCTGCCCATCCGAGGAATATTTAAACATGATGACTGAAAAAATTGTTTCCAGGAATTTTAAACTACAGGATTTCTGACCACCATCCTATTTTACTCAACAGTAAATTGCAAGACGCAGAAACTAAGGCAAAAGATAGCGTATAAAATACAAAAACCTATAAGATTATAGCAAACTAAATGTTAGGTTACTAAATGAGAACTGGTTAAGTATATACAATGAACCCAACACAGAAAAAGCTTTCAATATTCTTATTTCTACTATTCAAATATATACATGGTGTTATACAGGTTCTCGAGGACAGTGAGTCGTAAACAATTAAATTTCCTCAAACATTCGGCAACGCTGCACCGCAACCGCGATACGAGCGCACGACGACCGCAACTGATTCATCGAATTGTTTATGTTTGTATGATATTTTTGATAAAAATCTGCCATGAATTATTGAATACTTTTATGCAATTTTTTGGGGCTACTATCTTTTATTTGATAACGCTTTCAGTACAGTATATGTACTTAAAAAAAAATTACTGGAATTACCGGAACGTGGCGATACACACCACTAATTCCCACGATTATCAGTCACTTATTTGAAACGTTTCGATGCCAGAAAGAAGAACAAAAGACAACATCCGTAAATCACATAAAGTTACAGTTAAATGTATTAGTAATCACAATGGATGTTCAAATTGGGGACCAAGGGCATCTACGCAAGCTTGACACCGTCGAACCCAATTTCCTCCAACTCGTCGAAAAATTCCAGGCATATTACGTATTTCATTAGCGGCGGCCAAAATTAAATGATTCTCATCTCTTATTTCCGAGGCGTAAACTAAATTTTTCATGAATCCCCAGAAGAAAAAACTAATGGATTAAGATCGGGCGATCTAGCCGGCCAGGCATTTGGACCATTTCTTTCAATCCACCTATTCCCATAGGTATTATTGAAATGTGTACTCGATTAGCATGTGCTGGAGCACCATCGTGCAAGTACCACATATTCATTCTTGTTTGCAATGGCACTTCTTCCAACAAAACGGGCAAATGATCTCTTAGAAAAGCTAAGTAGCTCTCACTGTTCAAACAATGTGGCAAAAAATGGTACTATCAATCGGTCACCAATTATTCCAGCCAACACATTAACAGAAATATGATATTGCGAATTCTTCTGTGCAATTACATCAGGATTTTCGTCTGCCCAAATATGAAAATTGTGGAAATTCGAAATTACCTTTCTTGTAAAATAAGACCCATCTGTTGACAACACGTTCGCTACAAAATTGTGATTTCTTAAGTGTTTACCCAAACCAATTACAGAAATTTGATCTTCGTGGAAAATCTTCAGGCAAAAGAGCTTGAACTCTGTAATATATGGGGATTTAGGGGTAGTTGAAATAATAGGTCTTAATTTGAGACCAGATAAAAGTAATTCTATTTTCCAACCCAAAAATGATACACTTGCATTCCACAATTGTTTATGCCTACCACCGTTTATAAAAGTATACATAATAACATAGTTATATTCCTAAACAATCTCACTAACCTACTTACACAATTTGCTAATTCTAAATACATTATAATATACAGTATGATTATACAGGGTGGCGCATCGAAAACGAAACAGACGCATTTACTAGCAGCTCAGTTTTTTTTGGAAAAACGCTCAGACACGTCGATTTTGTTTCCGAGGGGGACACAAGTTTGGCAAAAAATCACGTTAACACGTGCAGCCCCCTGGGCGGGGGTGACACCAACCATAAAATCTTAAATGGAAAGGGGGGTCGAATGATACCTTATTTTAAAGGTCTTTCAATTCCCTTATAATGATGTAAAATGCATGAGCTTCAGTTCAGTAGTTTTGAAGATTTATGGATTTAAAGCTTAAAGTAGACTTTAATAGGTTAGTCTTTCAGAGGAAATTTGACTAAAAGAATTTTCTTAATAAGTAAATGCTTTGGAGCGTTTTTTTGTGGCAAAAAGTTATTTCTTGAAGAAAGATAAAGAAACATCTCGTACTTATTTTAAATAAGAATTTAGTACATAGTTTGCGATTGATTTGACTAAACTTTGTTGCTAAAATAACTTGTAACGCTTTATTACATAAATTATCCATGGTATATTCCACAGCAGAAAGAGTTGAAATTATCGAAATATTTTTCGGAAATAATCAGTGCGCTAATAGAACAGCAGAAATATTTAATGAGCGACAAGAGAACAGTAACGTGAATCGAAAATATGTTCTGGAACTTGTAGTTAAATTTCGGGAAACTGGGTCAGTCGCCAGTAAAAAACGCAACATTGAAAATCCAATAAGGAACGAAGCAATAGAAGTGGTGGTTTTAGGGCAAGTTTATGTAGATCCTAAGTGCCCGCAAATTGGAGACTGTGTGTGATGTTACTCGACGCACTGTCCAACGGATTCTAAAGGCCCATAGTTTTCATCCGAATAAAATTCACCTGGTACAAGAACTTAATGAAGACGATTTTGATCTTCAATTACAATTTTTGTGAAGAATTATAAACGATGAACATTTTCTATTGAACACTTGCTTTTCCGACGAATGTTCCTTTTTCTTAAGTGGCGTAGTAAATCGTGATAACTGCCGATATTGGTCCGATTCTAATCCCAGAATTTATCATGAGGTTCATACACAGCAGCCACAAAAACTAAATGTTTGCGCTGGTATTTTTGGCGATTATTTAGTTTTCTTACCTGGAAATTTGACCGGTGAAATGTATTTAGAATCACTGGAAGACACCACGGATCCTACATTAACAGCCATAATTGAAAATCAGAATGATCGGCGGTACATTGCGAATAGGTTGATGTTCCAACAGGATGGTGCCCCACCACATTATACATTTCGTGTTCGACAATATTTAGATCAGACGTTTCCAGATCGATGGATTGGTAGAAGAGGTGCCATTGAATGGCCCCAAGATCGCGAGATTTATCACCTTTGGATTTCTTTATGTGGGGTCACTTAAAAATCAAAATCTATGCTACTCAGCCAACATCATTAGAAGACCTGCGACAAAGAATTATGAATGAGTGCCTTCAAATTACTCCTCAAATATTGCAAAATGTGCGGCAACGTTTTGAGCAAAATCTTTATTATTGCATGGAGAGTCATGGTGGCCATTTTCAACATTTACTTGCCTAACGGGTCAGTTCATTCTTCATTTTTAAATTACTTTGCTGCCAAATGTATTGATCTCCACTATTGATGATGTATTAGTTTCATTTAAGCTTTAAATCATTAAATCTTCAAAATTACTGAACTGAAGTACATTAATTTTATATCATTATAAAGGGAATTAAAATGCCTTTAAAATAAGGTATCAGTTGACCCCCCTTTCCATTTAAGATTTTGGGGGTGATGTCACCCCGCTTAGGGGGCTGCACGTGCTAACGTGATTTTTTGCCAAACTCGTGTCCCCCTCGAAAACAAAATCGACTTGTCTGAGCGTTGTTCAAAAAAAAAACTGAGCTGCCAGTAAATGCGTCTGTTTCGTTTTCGATGTGCCACCCTGTATATTAATACTCCAATTATACATACATGCATATACTACATCTCCTACAAAAAAAAGAAAGAGAAAAAAAGTGGAAGAAAAAGGTTTAATATACAGGTACATAAAATTACTTTACAAAATATGGTTTTACTCTATTCTTGTGTATTAACTTATTTTTATTTCCTATCTTTACTAAATATTCGGAGCTTTATCTTCGATAACCACATACCTGTATGGACCGTTAGAGAACGCTTCCATCTTTGTACCGCCTTCATTTTTTATTAAAAGGATATCCACTGGTTTATAGCTAATTGTATTTATTTTTAAGTCGTAAGTTTTTTTTCTTTTATTTTTTGAAATTAGTAAATTATTTTTTGCATCAGCCTGAGCCTGCTGCAAACGAAATTTAAGTTCTAATGGCTGGCTATCAAGGTTATATAAAAGACCAACCTGTCGTTTTATATTTGAAGGTAAATTGCAAACCTTACCAAAAACTAGTTCATACGGCGTGTACTTTGTTCCTGTATGAACTGTAGTATTAAATGCAAAACTCCAAAATTGTACCCATGATCTCCATCTGGAAACATAGCGCATTGCATCCTTAAGTATGCCTCCAAACTTTTGTGCGCATTTTCTAACCTATCCAAACTTTGATGGTGATAAGCTGTGGAACAAATTTGTTTAACCTCAAGAATATTACAAATTTCTCTTAATGTTGTCGATATAAACTCTGTGCCCTTATCTGAACCTATTTCTTGGGGTATTCTAAAACGCAAAATAAAGTTCTCTACAAAAGCTCCAGCAACTGTTGTTGCTTCCTTATTTTTAATGGGGTAACATTCAACGAATTTCGTAAGTTCGCACTGTAACGTAAGTATGTATAAATTATCTCCCGAATCTGCTGTGAGTCGCCCAACAAGATCTAAAAATACCTTTTGGAATGCTGACGATGCGGTTGTGGTGATTGACATAGGCTCAACGTAAGGCCTTGAATGTTCATACCTCTGACATTCATCACATTTACTTACAAAATCTTGAACCGCCCTTTGTAAGCCATTCCAAAAGTAAAATTTTTTGATTATGTTGTACATACGATTCATTCCCGCATGTCCACCTGTTGGCAAAATGTGAAAATCGTTTAGAATTATATGCCTTATTTCCTTATTTTCTACCTTTTGTACATCTCTTATTTTTGATATTTTTGGGTTCATATCTTTCATTTCGTTGGGATCCCTTAATATATGTTCAATAAATAACTTATTTTTGCTATTTTTTAACATTATAACTTCCGGAATTTTAATTATTTCGCAAATTTCTTTTAAGTCCTTCAACGATGCACCAAATGCTAACGCTGAACATATAGTTATATTTCTAAACAATCTCACTAACCTACTTACACAATTTGCTAATTCTAAATACATTATAATATACAGTATGATTATATATTAATACTCCAATTATACATACATGCATATTCTACAACCCTCTGGACATGATACGGGTACAATAATTGTTCTTTAAGGACCCGATGTACAGTCCAGTGTGAGACACCGACTTGACGAGCAATACTTCTCGTAATCCGTGTCGAATCCTCGTCAATTAAATTCAAAATTTGTTCTTCGGTTTCCACTCCAACTTCACGTCTTCCGCGATTGTTAAAATTAGGCACTACGCTCCCTGTATCCAGAAGTCTTTGGGATACTTCTACGAATGTACTTCTAGCTGGTAGCGTTTGATCAGCAAAACGTTCTCCGTAAATGCACATAACCTCTTCAGAATTGCAATGAGCCTCTCCGAAAATAATAAGCATATCGTGATATTCTCTCTTACCGAAAACATCTCTTTCGTATCAAAATGCACGCCCTGATACAGTAATACATACTGAATAATAAAATGTGATTTCAATTCGGGTAGACATTACTTGCATTAACGTATGCAAGAAGCTATCAAAATTTGTTTTCCCGATGTAGGTATTTATTTTTTTTGCCTACCGACACGATGCCGGTCGTGGGCAACACGCGATGGTACATGCTCTGCAGGCGGAGTACGACGTTGCTATATAGTTATATATAGTTGCGTGAGTGATTTTGTTGGTCTCTTTTTCTTTGCAAGAAAATGATTTTGTTAAAGACAGTTAATTAATAAATAGATGTATTCATACATTTTAAACTATTAAGCATATGAATTTAGATTATTAAGGTGCAAAATTAATTTATTTCATGACTAAAGAGAAATAAGTTCAGCATTTTTTTGCTCCGAAACGTTTGATTTTCGGACATAGGTTATAATGAACTTTTTTGTTTAGAATAATGCAATTAATCACCTGTTAAAACTACGAATATTATTTGAATAACACCCTATATAAGTGAGAGTATAATAAATGAAAAATTCCCACGCCACCAAAAATTGTATAATGAGTTGAAAAAACGGTCTCATCATATAGATCTTCAAAATGAATATAAATCTTACCAAAATAGACTCACCACTGTGATAAAATGAGCGAAACTGAAATACCTCACAGAAGAAGTTAACGAATTTCAGAGCTGCTCTATGAAGATGTAGCGTTTTGTAGAAAAAAATCAAGGTAAAAAACATGAAAACGCATTCACTTCAATTGAATGAATGAATTCTGCAGATATTTTTCGAAAAACGGTGACAAGATGGCAAAAACACAGTAAATGAAGAACAACTGAATTATAGTAAGACTACACTGCAAAACTCATTATATCTATCACCAACAGATGAACACGAAGTAATCAACATGATTAATGAATTGAAAGAAAGAAAAGCACCAAGCTTAGACAAAAATAGAGCTTACAAACTGAAAATAATAAATTATATTGGCGGTATTCTTTCAAATTTCATTACTAATTGCATGAATAAGGGAGTATTTTCATCTTATCTGTAGTTAAACCGCTGTTCAAATCTGCCGAAAACGAAAAACCATGTAATTACAGACCAATTTCCTTACTAAGCATTTTCTCCAAAATATTTGGAAAAGTATTAAAAAATAGGTTTACTGCTTTCACAAAAAATATAACATTATACCAGCCCAACAATACGGATTTCAGGAAGGAAACAACACAAGATGAGATTTATGCAATTAACTAATAAAATATATGAAAACATGGATATAAGTTAACCAACTGCTTGCATTTTTGTTGATCTTGCCGAAGCATTCGATACTATTAGCCACAAAGCTCTTTTGGCCACTGTAGAAAACTTAGGATTCCGAGGTACCACATATCAACCCATGGAAAGTTATTTATCAAATAGAAATCTGCGTGTTGAAATAAACAGCACTTTAAGCGAACAACTCGTAGTGACTTATGGGGTACCCCAGGGTACAGTGTTAGGGCCCCAACTCCTCAATTTATATGTTAATGACCTTTTCAATTTAGATTCTGTTCGCTGTGTCGGTTTCGCTGACTACACAGCAGTCATCTATACAAGTAGTTATTGGTACACCTTAAAAACTGAAATTGAAAATGATTTTTCAATAGTTATGCAATTCTTTTCAGACAAAACTATGACTATAAATTATAAAAAAACATACTTTATGGCATTCTCTTGTGATGACAGATCTCCAAATTACAGTAAACTCAAGTTTCAAATGAAATATGACCATAAATAAATCCAACTAGTCGGCAAAATTAAATACTTAGGTTTAATAATAGACAAAAATTCTTAGTAGAATGCACACACAGAGGTCCTAGTGAAAAGACTAAGATGTCTTACCCCAAAATTGAAGTATTTTTGTGATTTTTTGAATAAAGACTATCTATTATTCTCTAGCAAGCTCTCGTCTACCCTATTCTGTCATATGGTATATTAGCATGGGGAGGACTCATGAACAATCACTATAAAAAGATTGAAATCGCACTGCAGTGGATACTAAAACTGATCCTTCATAAGGAGGTTACATATCCGACCGATAATCTTTACTTAGATAAATTTACTTTTACAATGGATTGATGTACCACATTAAGAATAAGGCGCATCTAAATCCCAACAATCATCACTATTAAACAGGGCTTAAACAAAATGTGTCAAAGGTCTCTTTTCTTTTTAGGCCCAACATTTTTCAATTATATTCCGCCATCAATAAAGATTATTGAAACATGAAAAAGTTTTAAAGAACACATCAAGTCATGGCTTATACAGGAACCAAGGAACTCAATCCATAAACTTATAGACACTAAAAATCATTTTTAAACTGGAGTAACTACAACATTATAACTACATTATTTAACGTTCATCTAGTTACCATCTGTATTTTTTTTTTCATTCTCATGTGAGCCCAAGCACAAGTTCAAACTCCTTTGGGTATTGTAAGTTTATTGTCAGATAACGATTTTGTGTATCTAGGTTATTCCAATAAACATAATTATTGTTATATAATTTTACGATAAATCCAAAACCGATAATCAAGTTATACTAGCACTCCTTTGAATCGGTCTCAGTAATCTTGCATCAATAACAAAAAATTTCAAATTATACACAGCAGCTATGTGAGTATATTAAGCGAGTCGTCTATATTCCTATTAGGTACGACTCCGATAATTGGTATAATACATAAACCCATGCCGTGTCTATTATTTATACGTAATTCCAATGACCATAATCTCGCCAATTATCGTTTAACGTATTATACAAAAACAGTATCGCTTTCGTGCCGGTAAAGTATCCCATGTTAGCCTAGTAAACTTAGATCATAGATATAATACTCGTAGACCTACAGCAATGCCCCTTACATTGATTGGGAGAATTAAATTTTTGTCGACATCATGCTGGTACAACAGATCCATGGTAGTTAAAAACCCTATAAAGGTATCACACGAAGAGTTGCTCTGAAAATTGTCGTTGAAAAATTACAATTTGTAATAATCGTTCATAAAATACCATTTAAGCACAATCTACGTGCTTTAGATGTAGTGGAAGAACTCACAAGTGTAGTGCTGTTCCTTTTAGTGATTCAATTCAAACGTTTCGATTCCGGTCTCCCGAATCAATTCTGTCGATTCGTCCACTACTTCCTTAACAGCCATCTATGTGTATCTGTATGCTGTGAGAACATTTTGTCATTGGTCGCGAGAATTGTAGTATAACACAGGTTGGAAGGTTCCAGTTAACGACGATTGAATAGAAAATAGATCCTCATCTCACGATTTTCAGTTTGGCTTATGCCACCATCTCGTATTATATACGTGCATGCCAACTTGGCGCCTTTTCTTGCGAGTAACCAGCATCAACCACCCACATCGACTATAGCACCATAATAGCCTAACATCTTTTATTTATCTGGTCCGCTGTAGGCTAGCGGCGGGTAGGATTTTGGCTTATTCAGCCAGAGTTTAGGGCTAAGATTCATACATGAACGTGTACGACTATAACATCTTATATGTGTGTAGAATTACCGGTATCAGAAACTTCTTAATGAGAAAACGTCTTTCACTAATACCAAAGATGAAATATCTACTACTTTCAACCTCCTGCACCCAACAATCCCCAATTTTCAACTCTCCGAAGAGAGTGTCTAAAACGTCAAAAAAATGGAGTTTTACGAAATTGTATTAATTTCGTTTTTTTTTTACCTTGCACCTCCCAGTATGGAAAACAACCATGCTGGACTTGACTCAGCGTCGGAAGGATAGATCAACGGGCCTGTGAAATAGAGTGTTGGTCGAATGCCTTGAACAGTACTGATAAGCCGCCATTTTGTCTGTGACTTTTCTACTAGTTCATCCATTTGATTTATCAGGACCTGTTTATGCAACAAATTTTATAGAAACCTATTTTTCTAGTTGATCAAGACCGAATATGTTACATATACGTACAAGACCAATGCAACTGAACTAGAATCGATATCGTGTGATTTACCGCCGATGCGTTTGGAAGAGTGGCGGCAGGAGACGAATATGGAAGGGGAAAGGGGTTATGACATTACGAGTGTGCAGTTGCAATTGTCGATTAAAGTTATAGTTAACGCGACCCTCCGTGTAACATAATTTATATTCCGATGTAGGTATGACCGTAAATAACAGTCGATTGGTGAGTGCACGTCACAGCGACGTTCGGACACAGTTCGTAATTTGTCCTCAGGGACACGGAGAATTGCACTTGCTGTTGGGAGGGAATGGGGGTACGCACACGCACGCACGCAATAACTCGATAATTATTCGGTGCTATGACTGCTTTTCTGTAAATGTACTAATTTTGTTTCATGAGATGGTGTACCGAAAGAAGCATCCACAGAATTGAGAGGTATCCTCGTCTAGAACACACAGAGCATCACCGCCCAATCATTACAGCTGAATGATCTCTTGATGGTGAAAGTGAAAGTAGCAGGTT